AGGGAACACAAGCAGGGGGAGTGGGAGAGGGAGAAGCAGGCCTCCCGCCAAGCAGGGAGCCTGATGCGGGGCTCGATCCCAGGACCCTGGGATCACGACCTGAGCTGAAGGCAAACGCTTAATGACTGAGCCACCCAGGTGCCCCTAGGGGCATAATTTAAAGAAGCACTTTATGGGTAGCTCTTCAAACTCTGAAAACATAAAGAACACACACACACAGGGACAAACCAAAATGAACCTTCTTCCTCATTTCACACAAATGGTTTGCTAGATTTAAGCAACTACCCACCTGGATATATAATATCAGCTTTGACTTTCAATAGCTTTTTTAGGGAGTTCATATAATCATAGAGGTCTTCAAATACAGTTGTTCCTTCCCCTAGGATGCAATCTCCAGAAAAGATCGCATTCTCCTCTTCTAAAAGTAGAGCGATATGATCATCAGTGTGGCCAGGTGTGTGTATAACTCTGGTTAAAAGGAAACGAAGAAATAGTAAAAATCAGAAACTCTTAGGCTTAGAAGAAATTATTCTCCAGCCTTATCTCTGGATACAACACAAATAAGTGATGTCAAATCGGTTAAAAAACTCCTCCTCTTGTGGCCCACAGAAATTATCATCAGAAAATTTGCTCCTTTAAATCAGATTTCCTACTCTGAAGTACAAATTCAATACTTTTCCCACCTTTTTTTATTTTATAAATAATAAGCATGCACCGATTACAGCAAATTTTGAAAACAGAAAGGAAAATACTTAAAGGAGATATGAATTCACAATCATTCCACTACTCAGAGACAGTGCTTTTACTATTTAAAAACTTTTTTTTTCAATTTTCTTTGCATAGATGTTTATTTTACAATATACTTTGTGGCAAGACTGTGAGAAAAAAGCACTTTCATAAGTTGCTGTGGGGAGAGCAAAATGGTAATAGCACATGTGGAGGGGAATTTGGCATTTTCTAACAAAATTACATAACCCTTTGACCCACTGGTCCCACAGCTAGAAATTTACCCTGAAAATACACGTTCACAAATACAAAATACATATATAAATTATTCATTACATTATTTATAAAAAAATACAGGAAAAACCCAGATACCCATGGTTGGACACTATGGACACACTGTGGTACAACCATACCATGGAGTACGATGCAGCAGCCATCAAAAAGATGATGAAGATCTCTGTGAACGGATATGGAGTCATTTGCAGCATGTATTGTTAAGTGGTAAAAAACGAACAAGCATGGTTCTTGTCGTGCCTCTGCTTTGCTGCTGGGGCAGGCTGCGAGCTGTGCTTGTGTTGCACCCCAACTACCCACCCCTGACCTTAGTTCAGTCTTCCAGGCCACACAAGGTGGGCCTCAGGGCAGGGTGGCGTGTTTGGCCTGGGGTTCGGACCTCTGAGACACACAGGCCGGTGTGCCTGACTGGAGCTGCTCCTATCCTTGATGCGGTATGATCAGGCTACTACCAAGTTTTGGGGAAGGGAAAGCTCCTAAAACAGCCTGTCATCCTGAAGACAGGACAGTAGAAGAGCTGAGCAGAAAATCCGTGGGTGTGTGTGGGGGCTGGGTCCTGAAGCCACGGGGGAGGGATGTCCATTAAATGCTAACAAGTGCTTTTCTCTTTAAAACAAATCAAAACAAAGCATGAAAGAATGTTTATAGTTGCTCTTTTGTATAAGAAAGTTGGGGAAATAGGGTGCCTGGGTGGCTCAGTTGGTTAAGCGACTGCCTTCGGCTCAGGTCATGATCCCGGGGTCCTGGGATCAAGCCCCGCATCGGGCTCCCTGCTC